TTTCAAACAAGCTGGTGAACTTCAAAGTTTTTTACAACCCAATTCAAGAGGTGAAACAAGACTAGAACGTGCATGATCATTTTCTTAATATTGATGCCCTCCCTCTGAACATGTAATTACTAAAGAATATATACTTTTGCGCATTACTCATTAGGGTCCGAGTGCCGCATATCCTGAGCTCTGTTAATTTGCTTGGCGTAATGTCTCCAAAATGAAAGCAAAGAATTACAACTCTTGTAGCTTGTCCTAGCGTTAGAATCTATGAGGACCATGCAAACAAGATTTTAATAAGTTATTTGCAGGATTGCATTGCGAAAAAACTTATAATACTTTTTGTTTGCGGAAACACCACGTAAAATTTTACAAAGGCGGAAAAGTCAGTTAAATCTTACTAAATTTTATATGCTGAACACCTCAACAAATGCACTAGCTTGAAGTCACACACGAAACTAAATGCTGTGCTTTTTTTCTTTTAATTACTTCGGAAGAAACGTTTAAATGAATTTAAACATTTTCCTTACGTGCCTTCATGATCTGAAAGAAGCCTGGCATGTGCATGTGTTGTACAATTAAGTATGTATATGTACAGTTGCATGGATTATAATTGCGTTATGATATTAGCCTCCTTTCAGCCAGAAATTTCGAGAGCGCATAAGCAAACTGATATGAAAATAATTATCTTTATTTACTTATTATGAACTGATTATCTTTAGTCTTACAACAAATGATGTTTCTGTTTCAGTTCAGAACAATGTAGTTTTAGTGGTTAAAATAAATGGAAAATTAAAGTGCACTACAACTAAATACTTAGTTACACTTATAGTTAGTTTTAAAGTCAAGCTTTTAAGATCTCTGCTCTTTTTGCACGAAACGAACTTCGTTTGTCGATCTTTAATCTTAAATGTAACAGTCATAGGGGTCTTAAACAAAAGCCTTATAGGTTTCTAGTATCCCCCTAGCCCTCAGTACTGTAATAATAAATTAGTCAATTACTGTAAATATTATAAAACATTGGGGCAAACTCAATTTTCCAAAATATGTTTAAATAAAAACATTATTTTGGGAGAAATTAAATAAATAAATAAATAAATATGCGTTATGCATATATATAATAGCTTCAAAATACGCTTATTTTACCCACTGAATTTAGATTTTTGGTATTTTATTCTGCATATATAGAATTCGACTTTCGACTTCTATCCCTCATGCAGATTGAAACAGGACCTTAATTTTGACAGGGACAGTTATACAAACCAATTGTCATTGCAATGCCCAAGTATTTGTACATCATATTGTTGAAGACAAACAAAGTATTATTATAATGTTAAGCATGCTCGATATCGTTGTGTCCTCATGCAAAACCGAAATATAAATCATGTTCTGTATTATAAGTATAACCTGCGAACTCTGCGAGTCTCATCCGATTCCTACTGTATGTAGACTAATGTAGTTGTCTGAATTTATTTCGCATCTGTCGCACGTGAGATAGAAGAGCTAGCGCTTCCAGTTACCCAACACTGCAGCCGGTCTTTGTGCATGGCGGTTATCTGCACGTTCAGGAAGAACAGTTCAGAACAATGTAGTTTTAGTGGTTACTGAAAATAAATGGCAAATTAAAGTGACCACAACTAAATAGTTAGTTATACTTATGGTTAGTTTTAAAGTCAAGCTTTTAAGATCTCTGCTTTTTTTGCACGAAACGATCTTCGTTTGTCCAATACACGATCTTTCAGTAAACTAATCTACCCACATGTTATGAGCATAAAAAGCCTTTGTTTACATATCTAAGTGGTGTCAACTAGGACTATAGATTAGGAATTGGAAGACACTTAAAGATGGGAACCGTTTGTGTTTTCACTGGATTTTTTTCCGTTATAGGAACACATGGTGTAGCCTGTAAAGAGTATACAGGGTGTATAAAAAAAAAAACTGAACAGGTTTAAAATTGCTCTCAATTTCGCAAAACAGCTATTTGTATCCGTTTTTTTATATATATAGTCTCTTTGCGTACTTATAATGTAGAATAATGAGAAAAATTTCTCGAACTCAAATTTTGTGAACCAGGGGGGGGTGTCTTTTCCAACAAACTAAAAATGGCTCGCGCACAAAATTTTAAAGCTGCAATCATATTTTGAGTTAACAGATGGAAAATTTGTCGGGTTTTTAATTACTGTACAAAATTTCAGACAATTTGGTTTAGTTTAAGCCCCTTAACTATTCACTCAAAGTTACAATTTTCCCGAAAAATCAGCTATTTGCATGCTTAATTAATGCATTTGCCTAATTTGCATATGTCAGCAATATGCAAATTAGGTAAAGGCATTAATTAAGCATGCGAAAGGCTGACTTTTTAGAACAAAATGAATAGTTAAAGGGCTTAAACTAAACCAAATTGTCTGAAATTTTGTACAGTAATTAAAAACCCGACAAAGTTTCCATCTATTAACTCAAAATATGATTACAGCTTTTAAACTTTGTGCGCGAGCCATTTTTAGTTTGTTGGAAAAGACACACACCCCTGGTTCACAAAATTTGAGTTCGAGAAATTTTTTTCATTATTCCACATTATAAGTACCCAAAGAAGCTATATATATAAAAAACTGGATACAAATAGGTGTTTTGCGAAATTGAGAGCAATTTCAAATCTGTTCAGTTTTTTTTGATACACCCTGTAGAGTAAATTTTGACCAAGGCAAGAAGAACGAAATCCAACAGCACAGCTAGAAAGAGCGTCTTGTAGGTGTTGTAAAATGAAGAAAATATAGCCCTGTGAAGTTTGCAAATTTTGTATATATTTGTATTGCGCGCGGTAATGCAAATATATACAAAATTTGGGAACTTCACAGGCCTATATCTTCCGCATTTTATTTACAACATTTCACAACGAAACTTTGCAATTTTATGTATTTTAAGATGCTTTTTCCAGCTAATGGTTTCGTTCTTGTTGTCTAGATCAAAAGCTAGAATCATCCATTGATTATCGCTGATTCAAAATGAACCGTATCGGCAGACAACCAATTTGTTGGTTGTCTTGTTAACATAGAAATAAGTCAACCTTATTTTGGTTAAATCGTAGATTTCAAAAGTTTGATCGTATTTCTGATAGGCATACATGTCCCGATTGTGCTCAGCAACTTTTGAGCAACTTTTTACTAGAGTTCAAACATTACAGTATGAAATGTAATTTCATCAATCTCGTTCCGCGAGCCTGCGATCCTCGGGAAGGAACGTGAGGCTCTGGAACAATCCGCTTCAGGGAGGAATCTGATTGGCCGTTGAAATGGAATGCGTAGTTCAATCTTAGCCAGGACTCCTGGCTTCCGGCAACGGATTATCCCAGAGCCTCGCGTTCCTTTCCGAGGATCGCAGGCTCGGGGAACGAGATTGTAATTTCATGTGATAGACAACTTCATTGTCTTGCTTCTCACGAGCAAAGACCCTGGATACGAGGTTGCTTCATTTCTGTGATATTTTTCTGTCTTTTTTAAAATTTTTTTATGACCTTTGTTTTGTTATTTGTAAAGCTTTTGTAAAGAAAACGTTTTGTCTTTACAATTCCAAAAAATTTATCCCGGTCTACGGAAATTGTATAAAGCTTTTAATTAACGTATGTCGTGAAATTAACGTAATGAGTACAAACTTTTTGAATTTTAGTAGCAACTTTTTTTATTTCGGGCAACTTTTGAGCAACGTTTACGCTTCTTAGAGAGCAACTTTTTTGTTTTATTTAGAGAGCTACTTTTCGAGATTTTATGAGCACGATCGGGACATGCCTAATTTCTGAAATTCAACTTTAAGGTACACATATGGAAAAGACGTCACGGGACTCTTAGAAACGACCATGTGTTTAAAGTACAGCTCTTACTCTAGATGGAATGGGCCTTGTGTGAAGGAAGTGAAAAATGTAAGTATTAGGTGTCGTATATGTAATAGTGGGGGAGGGGGCTGCGGGCATTCTCCCCCAGAACATTTTCGACGTATTTTTCAACCCCCTAGGACTGCATTTCGTGCGCTTTCTGAAACAGATTTTAGGATATACAGCGTTACATTATGCTGTAGATAGATTGAATTTCAGTTAAGTACTTGCATGGTATGTTTATGTAAATACCCCAACTCGGTCACTAACTTGTTTAGCCTAGCCTTCCAACAACTCAAATCTATAGGGTTTGGGATGTGCTATCCACTGGAAAATCTTTAAAATCTAAGGTACAGTATATTAGAGAGTTTTAAAAGCTTTGCGTCATATGTCAAGCGGCAAACGCCAGGCAAAGAAAATTTTTACGGTATCAGGCAATAAAGAGCAAATGAACTTGCTGTTTTAAAACTGAAATACATAATTATTCTTTCGACGCAAGAAAGAAAATATGAAACGAAAACGTTCAACGAAAATTTCGCCAAGAAAGTTCAAACCTGCCGTTTGCCGTTCCCAGAAACGTGAAGCTTAAACTCCCTATTTACACACAGTGTTTAGCATTTAACGGCTAACACTTACTAACACACCATTCGCAGGGAGAACACTCACTGGGCCTTAGATACACGACATATGACGTTATTTTTTTCTCGATTTTCCTCCTTTCAGATAACAGGTTGTCAGGAGTTTGATGTCAGGGAGTCATTTAAGCGGAACAGGATATACTACTTTCAATCGTGGCGGTCCTATTTCCTACATATTAAAACTACTTTTACTGAAACCTTGACAGGAGTGAAAAGAGAAAACGAGGCTGAAACACCCCGTATGAAACAACACTCTAAAACTATGTCATTTGTTGGATTAGATGAAAAATTCAAACCTGGATTTCCCTTCAAATTTAAAGTAAGTTAATTAGGTATTTTATGTATAATGTCAGACATTCACCAACCCTGTATGGATAAAGGTCAGGTATGTCGCAATCTGGCATCCTTATAGCAACTAACCGTGGCTATGAGGTAAGCCTTAGGATATCGGTCGGTCACGGACATTGACCGACCCCATTCGTGAAATTGTTCGACGTAAAGAGGAAGTCACCGGACATTCTGTCCAACATACATGAAACTGAGGCTTTTTATAAGTTATGCCGAAAATAAGCGTCCTTTATAGCCACCAAACATGGCTATGGCATGCCTTGTAGCCAGAAACCGTGGCCATTGAGGGGTTGATTGGCATATCGCACTATGACTGTGAGCTACTGTATATCAATACATATATAATTGTCATGGGTGACAGTTAATGGTAAAAAACCCAGTACAGAATGACTTGGCAGTCGCAGTCAAAATGACTTGTGGTTTGACTTGCATGCTATTCGGAGTGAGTGACCTGTGAATTGTCTAGCGAAGATGTAAACAACGTTAGCCATATTTGTCAGTTACATTATTATTTCTTCTTAAAGATTAAGGTTACATATCTCGACGGGAAACCTGTAACTGATGGCAAAGTTGAAATTGCGGTCTCGAGAAGTCGCTTTTATTATCGCGGAACAAGGCAATTATTCCAGAAAACATATTCTGTCAAAAATGGTATAGTAGCAGGTGTCGTTGAAGACATGCCCCAAGATACAGAGAAGCTACATTTTAAGGTAAACTAATGGGGTATATTTAATGAAAAATAAACGCCCGTATTCTAAAAGTTCACTCACACGCAATGAGTGGAGGTTCAATCTGAGCTTCTCTTGAGTGTTAATGCTGTTTTTGAATAGCTGGAGGGCTAGTGTCATACCTTACTCGGTGCTACTCACCATCCAACTATTCAAAAACAGCATTGAGACTCAATAGAAGGTCAGATTGAACCTGTACTCATTGAGTGTGAGTGAGCTTTTGGAATACGGGCGAAAGTGGTTAAGATATTCATTGCTTTTTAAGTATGTGCACTTTTACGGCGAAAGGGCGTATTGTTTCTCTGATTAAGAGCGGTTATTATACATTCATTTTGAACTGACTGTGCCAATGTAGGTAGTCCCAATAATGGACTAGACAAAGGGCCTTGCAACGTCGACGTTCTCCTTATATTTTTCAAGTAGTCACATCTCTACCAACGAAAACTTGTTAATATTGTACATTCAGTGGCGGGAATCTTGGTGGGGCGGGGAGGGGGGGCAGCGACCGCCCACACACACACACCTTCACGGAAAATGGACGAATTTTCGGAAATTTTGACCTAAAAGAGGGCTAAAAACAGTCTTTTCGAGTGCAAATGGGGGAGTTTGTAGGAAATTTGAAAGTTTTGTCGGAAATTTAGGAGGCTTTGCCCCTCCACCGGAAAAAGGGAATTTCCGCCATTGTGTACATTTAAACTATATTCTTGTTCGTGATTTGTCAACAACAAGTGGATTACTGTTTCTAATCAATTTTCATATAAAATTTGAGTTCATTTTAATTTTAGGCCTCGTATACGTACAAATCAGGAAGGATATGGCCGAAGTACGCCACATCAAAGGCTTGGTATTCTCCAAGTTTGAGTTATCTTCAGCTGGTTAAAACTGGACTGTCGACAGCGAAGGTCAAAATTTCATCTTCTTACTTTGTTGACGACCTTGTTACTTTGTATTGCGATTTCGATACTGATAGTTCATTTTTTAAATTTAATTTATCAACTTTTAGGTCGACAGTCAAGGATCTGTAAAAGTTTTATACACATTGCGTAATGGAACTGCAAAACATATAAACTTTCACCACAAGGTAGTGATAACAAAGCGTAGATACCTTTTGAGCAGGGTAAACATTTTGACCAACAACCTAAATAAATTATAATATTTCATCCCGAAAAGCGATGTGGTGTCACCCAAGGACCCAATCTAGGTCCACAAATTGTGGTGTCCTCCAAGGATTAAATCTAGATACACTAATTGTGGTGTCCTCCAAGGATTAAATCTAGGCCCGCTAAGGTGGTGTCCCCCAAGGATCAAATCTAGGTATACTAATTGTGGTGTCCTCCAAGTATTAAATCTAGGTCCACTAATTGTGGTGTCCTCCAAGGATTAAATCTAGGCCCGCTAAGGTGGTGTCCTCCAAGGGTCAAATCTAGGTACACTAATTGTGGTGTCCTCCAAAGATTAAATCTAGGTTCACAAATGCGGTGTCCCCCAAGGATTAAATCTAGGTTCACTATGATTGTGGTTTCCTCCAATAATGAAATCTATTTCCACTAATTGTGGTGTCTTCCAAGGATTAAATCTAGGTCCACGGATGCGGTGTCTCCCAACGATCCAATCTAGGTCCAATAATGTGGTGCCCTCTAAGGATCAAATATGAGTCCACTACTACCCTTCCTGCTTTCTATCAATGATTCGCGTAATTGTCTTAAGCCATCCATGCCTGCCGTGTAATGATTTAAATGTTCATACTTTTCTATCTTTAAGATTTTTTGTAAAGGAAATCTAGTGCTGTCTGGAGTTACCAAAGAAGACTTATCAGACCAGTACTATGAATCAAATTTACCTAATACATTTTCCACACCTTCAACTAATACGGTTTCCACACCTATAACTACCCAACGAACCTACAATCCTACCCACCCTTTCATAAGCATACCAGAGCCAACTGTAAAGGAATTTGAGATCATGTTCAACATCACCCAAGCGATGGTTCCTAGCTGTAGAATCCTAGTGTACTATGTCCGACCGGATAAAGAGACCATTGGTGATAGTATAGTGTACGATATTGAAGACAAACTTGAAAATCAGGTAAATTACCCATAAGCTGAGAATTGCTATATCTTGTACGTTTTGTCAGACAGTCCAACTCTCCCGATTTTACCGGGAGTTTCCCAAAAATTCATGCAATCTCCTGGTCGCCCTATTCTTATCAAATTCTCCCGATTTTTCAGAACATTCAGGAAATATCGTAAAAAATCATAAACATACTGTTTTTAACAACATAATTGTCTGTCTTGACCTTTTTATGAAGTTACTTTATGGCAATTTATAGGATCACTTATAACAACAATATTCCCAAAATGCAGGAAACGCCATTTCAGAAGACTTAATTTTTATTATTTTTTCCCAGAAGAACTAGATTAAATTTTCAATTCACTGAACAGTCTCCCTAAATTTTACCTCCAGTAGTTGGAATATCTGGTTTTGTCATCTTTTTCATTGCCGAGTTTTCCTGATCCTTAGGTATCGATCGACTTCGTGGAGAAGCAAAAAAGACCCGGTGAGAAAACAAAGATTATCATGAAAGCAAAACCTGGCTCTCGTGTAGCGATATCTGCCCTAGATAAAAGTGTTTTACTTTTGAGAAGTTCTAACGAAATAAAGAAAAGCAAGGTGCGGAATAATTTAAAGTGCATATGACATGAAATTTTTTACTTTCTTAAATGAAAGAACTCTTTAAGTTGTAGTGTAACTTATTTTTCAGTTTCTTGTTTTCATGGTTTGTTCCCGAGATATTCCAATTTGTTTGGTATGTAAATGAGTGTGAATATGTCCGCTAATTTATGACGTCATGTTGGTTGCAAGCTTAACTTACAAATCTATTAACTCTAAAAACTGTAGATATCAGTTCACGTTTTTCTACAGTGTTTCATCACACTTACCAGTGAGTGAAGTTTGAAATTATCATCTTGGATGATAGCAGTGATATTCAACCATTTTGAAGAGCTTGCAACCAACATGACGTCATAAATTAGCGGACATATTCACACTCATTTACATATCAAACAAATTGAAATATCTCGCGAATAAACCATAAAAACAAGAAACTGAAAAATAAGTTACACTACAGCTTAAAGAGTTCTTTCATTTAAGAAAATAAAAAATTCATGTCATATGCACTTTAATAGACAGTTTGGCAAATATAACGCCGACAACGGCAATATGCATGGTCATCAACAATAGCATTGATCCTCAAAGACAAAGGCGAATGTAAATTACATGGTCTTAAGCGTTGTGCAATGCCGTAGTTGTTGAAACTTGTACGTGATTTGCATCATTTTCACGGTGCATAACTACGGCAACAGTTAATTCGTTCGATGTTATTTGGGGTGTTTTATTCGAATTCGTGGACTATTTTTACTTAATTAAGGGCAGCTGTTTGAGAGAAACAGGAATACTTAAAGAGGCAAATTAAGTGTAGTAACGTATACTTTGGCTCAAATACAACGATATGAGCAATTATATTTTTTGCCATTGTCGTTGCCGTTTTAGGTTGCCAAACTCTCTAATATCTCCTCTAGGAACTTATGTCGGTCAGCCGGATAACTTTAAAATACGAAAATTGTTGAAAATTGCAAAAGGACAAATTGACTAAATTTTGCTTAAATTCGGACATAAATTGGATATTAGTTTGTCTTGCTTTGCCCTTTGTATAATTTATGCATGATATTATAATTTTTGTAAGCTTTTTCACAGTGTGGTATAACTTCTTTGGGCGACGCCTGGCCCAAGCCAGGAGACCAAATGAATTAGGGGGACCCTGAACAAGGACGAGGCAAAATTGTTGTATTCCAGCAAAGTTTGCATCTTTTTGACGTAGCCCCCTCCTTCCCAGCCCTCCCGGTCGCCACTTTAAATGAGCATGACCAGCGACCTTATTCCAGTTAATGCTTGGGGTCTACTGCTTTGGTACAACGTTACGATTACATAAAAAGAAACAATAATGAAATATATAACATTACAAATAGTGTTAGAGAATCATAACAGCTTTTGGCCAATTACTGTGACCCCAAAATTGACACACATGGTATACTGTACATAACATAATTCATAAATATATCAGGTATTTCATTTTAGGTGCTAAGCATATTAAATCGTCAAGATGTTGGACCAGTCAGATATTATACAGGAAACTGTTTGTACTCATGGAATATGCCTCATGTAGCTGATGTTTCTGAAGCATTTAATGTGAGTTATTGAAACAAAATTAGATCTAAATGGGGAGTTATCCATCATACCTTGCGTGCTCAATGTTTAAGGTTTAAGATATATTTTGGAAGGACAACCTTTTTTGAACCTTTATATGTACTATTTAAAACATGAGCAGCAGTGTTTTATCAGATATAAAGATACGAGGCGAAGCCGAGTATCTTTAGGTCTGATAAAACACGCACTGCGAATGTTTTAAATTGTTTCAAGAACGATCGATCTAGTAAGTTCATTGGCGATGTAATTTTTTTCAAAAAATACGTTGTGTAAGTTGATAAAATCAAAGTTAAAGTTTATGTAAATCAAGGGTAATCTCTATCACATATAAAGATACGACACGCTTGTGATTTTTCTTTGTGTTTTTGAAATATATATATAATATATATACGACTGTGTTTTAGTTCACGAAATGCTAAAGAGTGCTCGATACCATATAGATAGAGCAGATATGTAGTGTTTTACCTCAAAAGGTTGCCACAATAGCCTATTTCATTGAAGAGGAAACATCATAGTGGTTGACAAATATCGAAAAATTGAAATTATCGTCATATGTTTATAAAGGTGGCTTGTGGATTAACATTTATGAAATTCTCTAAATTCTTTTTTTGTAGATGGCTGGTGTTGTGTTCCTCTCAAATCTGAACGTCTTCACCCAACCATGTGGCACATCTCAACAATGGTTTTACGAGGAGAACGACAAACCTGTGACAACACTTCCACCTCCTACATATATATGGGGATTGGGCGGCGGTAAGAACACTAGCATTGAGATTACGTTCATACCACATCAGAGCGGTTTGACAATGGTGCAGAATATGCCTCATGCATGATGACGTCACAAGGCTTGATGCCCGCGAGGAATGCTGGTCTTCGTAGTCATCGCCCGGGAAAATTAAACAATTCAAAATGGCCACTATCGAAATTTTCCCGGGCGATGATTACTAAGACCAGCATTCCTCGCGGGCATCAAGCCTTGTGACGTTATTATATGCATAAGGTCTATTAGCCATCGCGTCCACACTACGCCAGAGCGAAATTGTTTGAAAACCGGCCACTTTTGCCGTAACAATTTTAGCACGGTTTCTAAACGGAGCATGATTATTGACGGCTTCATGTGAACACAAACGCCGTTACTTTTTTGTACCGCTTGCAAACCAAGCCACTCGGGTCTCAAAACAGTAAATTCGAATGCTCTTCGTCTAAATTTTGGGTTTACATGAGTGCTAATTTATTTTGTAAACAAACTTTGACGGTGTAGAGTTTGAACACACGTGAATTTTGCCGGCATGAGTTCGCTCCGGTGTATAGTATGAACGTAGTTGTCTAATTTTCTCAGCATGAACTCCACCTTTGAATTTACTATACGAGTAAATTGTTAAACACGTCCGAAATTATCAATATGATAAATTCGCGACGCATGTTGAGTCCTTACCCTAATCTAACCCCAACTCTAACCCCTAACCCTAATATAATCTTAAAGGATTAGTGCCAGGGTCATGCATTGCGGACATTGTATATGAGTAAAATGTAAACAAGCGATCAAAATACCTTGTTTGGTACATTTCTGATAAAAATCAGACAAAAAAGCAAGGATTATAAAAGGATGGTTTAAATATATGACGGATTGTAAACACTTTCCAGATCATCTAATTTATTCGTCCCGAAAAATGGACGCCAGCAGGAGTTTGAGCCCGCGAATTCCTGGTGTGACACTAATCCTTTAATCTAACCCTAATCTAATCTTAATCTGACACTAATCTAAACTTGATGACCTTTATTTTAATAATCCCTCCATTCTGGGCACGACCAGCCTCCCTCTAAAAACGGTGAGAGAATAATAATTTTGGAGTCGATTGATCAACTTCCTCGAAACTTACAGTGTAGTAATAGTATGAACGTGCAAAACAATCACAAATGGCTGATATAGGTAATCATGCAATGTTGCTCGTACAATTAGGGATTAATAGTACGAGTGATGTTTGGAAATTTTGCCAAATTGGACGAGCCGCCGGGGCGAGTTCAATTTGGCAAATTTCCAAACATCACGAGTCCTGCCAGACTTTCAACCAAAAATTTGGTACTTTTGTTCGTATTTTCATTTAGTTCTTTTGTTAAAGCAAAATTTGGTGCTTTTGTTCGTATTTTCATCTAGTTCCTCAAGGGCAATTTCATTTCACATTTCTGTTCAAAATACCTTTCCGCCATTTTGTTTGTTTTGGGAAAATCATTAATTGTACTGCAGTACAATTAATGAAATAATTGTACTCTTCTCAACCAATCAGCATCCAGTAATTTTGTCATGTTAATAATGAAGACATTTAATTATTAATTAATGCTTATATTGCATTTTGTAAGACATGATTTGCACGAATCTATCTTTCTTTATAAAACCCTAAAAAACCGTACCGTCCCCCATTCAGCCCTCGCAATTTTGATAAATCTTCGGCGGCAAAAATTTGCCACCGATATTTCGAAGTTCGGCGGCAGTTCGGCGGAAATTTTTTTGTCACTATAAATTGACACTTTCACAGAGAACAGAATTATTTTATATTTAGTATTCTCTTGACTCTACTAATTAAAAGTGTTTGATATTCAAGGAAACCTTGTTTCGCACACAATAACATTGAGACCAGCTATCAATCGTTTTGTTTTAACTTTGTTACACTACGGACGTTGTTCTAAAGTTGTATGTGTTTGAACTTAAAGTTACATGAAGTGTACCAGAACTTTCGATGTTTTTTTAAATAAGCCACAGAAATAAAAGTGTTCACAAAAGAATAACTCACTTTCCCCGACTTATTTTCTAATCATATGTTCATACTCGGAAGAACTAATCGAATTGAGAAGGCAGTGAAGCATCATCAGTGACCCAAAAATTCGTCGACGGCAAAAAATTGCCGCCGATAGTTGAATCTTCGGCGGCATTTTCGGCGGCAATTGCCTTTTGCCGCCGAAAATTGCGAGGACGTCGACTGCCCATTTGGTGAAACAAATTTTTTTTGGCGAGAAGCGATATATGATCTCAGAAATACTAAATATAAACCTGTCACTTCTATTGCCAAAAAGTCAGAGAATTTCTTCGTCAAAATTGCTCAAAGTTATTAAATCGTTCGCAATTGCAACAATTTCTAAGCTTTCATTATGTTTGCACTGAAAGAATTGCAGGCCTTGCTTATTTTGGACGAAAAAGTTTGAAGCTTTGCTTATGTTAGTCGGAGAAATTTTTGCCCCCTCCCCCCGGCAACATTTTCGAGAAACATTTCTACGACTTGGTCAAAATTCTAGGAAAAGTTGGTCAAAACATGACAACACCCCCCTTCCCCCCCCCCCGCCCAATGTTGATGCCTTTGCGACGTCCCTGTCCGGAATTCATGCCATTCCATAATTATTATTATTTAGATGGTGATGACCATACAACTGAACCTCCAACTGACGCTGATCTTATCACTCTTGCTGCGACTCATGCTGTTATGTCTATTCAAGCGCCGACTGATGCTGCTATGACTACTCAAGCGCCAACCGATGCTCTTGTTATGACAGCCACTTCTAAAACTGTCATTCCAACCAGACTTCCCGTGAGAAAAAAGAAACCTATAAAAAAGGTGAAAGTCCGAAAAGATTTCCCGGAGACTTGGCTTTGGACTGAAGTAAAATTAAAGTAAGTGCTGTGGTACTCATTTCACGTTATAGCAGTTTTCGCTTCGGTTACGCGAATACTATTGGATTAAGCGTTTCGTAACGCGCTCAAAACTAACGAGTTACATGCAATATACCAATTGCGGTTTATTCAAAATTTTATTTTTTGATACGTATCCTCAATCGGCAAACAAATTTAAGAAGTATATTTAGTGCTTTATCTGTAAAATAATGCTAAAATGAAGAGATTTTAGATGGTATACACCAAAGAGAAAATGATCTCTGAAGTTCAGTAAGTTTTGCTTATATATATTGCTGTAAATATATATGGCGTCACTTTTAAAGAATCATTGATAATTGTATTTTAATTGACAAAGTTTACTATAATTTTATGTTTCCCAACAGGCAATTGCATTTAAAAAGGTAGCTAACTGTATAAACTAGAGAATAAAGCTAAACTGACAAAGCAATTTTAGGAAGTGCACCAAAATTATTTTCGATTTCGAATACTTCTCATCGCAAATATGCGATATTGAAAAAAAAAGTCGCATCTTAAAAGTACCCACCGTGGCCACGCATATTTTTCAAGCTCGCTCGGTGTGAATATACACTAAGAGTAACATCACAAGCGTCATATTCACCTGAGTACCATTACACCAACACAGAAAAAATTCATGATTACTAGATTATATCGATATCGAAGGAACTAGACTCAGTTCCGACATATCACATACTCGAACGGTTGAAAACGCGTACATGGAAAACGCGTACATGGAAAACGCGTACATGGAAAACGCGTACATGGAAAACGCGTACATGGAAAACGCGTACATGGAAAACGCGTACATGGAAAACGCGTACATGGAAAACGCGTACATGGAAAACGCGTACATGGAAAACGCGTACATGGAAAACGCGTACATGGAAAACGCGTACATGGAAAACGCGTACATGGAAAACGCGTACATGGAAAACGCGTACATGGAAAACGCGTACATGGAAAACGCGTACATGGAAAACGCGTACAATGTTCATTTGTAACGTTAATTAATTAAAACTTGGCGATTTTATTGAAAGTTCTCTTGCAGACCTAGTGATTGTGTCAATGATGGTCAGATCATGGCCTCCGTGAAGGACAACTTCACAGTGGACTACGTAATGTTTAGTACTTTCATTGTGTTCCAACATGCGTCCAGAAAAAGCAGCCGTATTTCCAACCACCTCACGCTATTATCCCATGCACGTAAGATAATGTCGATAATGTCACTTCTCCGCGATGAACATTGGAGATATATTAATCACACATTCGGAAGCCTCGCAATCCAATATCCTTAGGCGAGCATACAGGTATGGATACACAACAAAAAGTGTTCAGATAATTGATGTGATTAAAGAAAGAGACATGAGTTTATTTGAAAAAATATGTAGCAACCCAGACCACCCTTTATATGAACTACTTCCTCCTAAAAGACAAAGACCGTTAAGAGAACGCGAACACGATTTCATATTACCTAAGGTTAAAACAGAAAGATTCAAACGATCGTTTTTAAATAGGTGTCTTTTTAATAATTTTAGCTAAAATAATTAACTTAGATACATAATAATAACTTAGTCTTAGTCTAATAACTTAGTCTTAGTCTTTTTAATAATTCTACCTAAGAATAATTAACTTAGATACATAATAATAATCAAGTTTATTTTTTTGGAACCTTGTATATGAGAATTTTAAATGTAAAGTCACACGTCTGTTGTGGCTATGTTTAATAAAGACTTAATAATAATAATAATAATAATAAACATTTAAAACTATGCACTGACGCTTACAGACTGATTATCTATTATTTTAAATTGTTAAGGTTTTCTTTAGCATATAGTTTATTTATCATTTATAGACCCGAAGCGAGAGGGATTCGGCGAAATATTACCCGAAGTGATGATATTTATTTAATATTTATTTAATATTTGAAATATCATCACTGAGGGTAATGTTTCGGCGAATCCCCCAAGGGTCTATAAATGATATATTATACCGAAGGTAAAAGACACCACTATAATAAGTTCAGAATAAACTTTAAAACTTGCTGAATATTAACTATAAAGCGAATACAATTTTTAATTTCTTATGTATACCTGTGTTTTGACGTTTTCTCTTTAAAATATTTGAGCATGTATTCTTTGGATTATTGAAGGTAACGTACGTCTTAAAAATTTTTGGTTACAGTAAATCAATAAATCTGCATGTACGCGCCGGTACGAAATTACAAACAACAGCTCGCGAATGCCATGTTCTTTAAGAGCGTGCATGGTATCCTTTCGTCGCGTGTGAGCGTGAGATACTATAATATCCACCACAGTGGATCTCACGCTGCATTGCGAAATCATGAATTTGAGTGAAATACTGTAAAAAAACACATTGTCACGTAGTACAAATGCTATTCTTTTATAGGACAATTTGAATTTGATTTATAATATATTTTATATATAGACACTTAAGCTCTCTGGCTCTGTTGTGTTAGGGGCCATTCACAAAGGATGTCCGGCCAAATGATGGATATTCAGACCCCCCCCTCCCGCCCCTTGTCCGGCATTGTCCGAATTAGTGACCCCCCCCCGGGACATCCACCATGCCTCGCTAAAACTCACGCAACCTTGTATATGTCAAGTTTACTTTTAGAACTTTTTTATAACTATAAATGTATTGAAGGAAAGAATTAGATAATATTATAAAATGTTCAAAATGCCAAGAGTTCAAAATAGAGGAAAAAGAAATTTGTTTTTGAATTTTTTTAAATTTCGGACATCCGGATTGCTGAACCCCCCCCCATGTCTGAGTTTGTCCTGATTTTCCAAATACCCCTCCCTCCCCCTCGGCTCGACATTCTTTGTGAATGGCCCCTTAGTTTGATCTAATCATGTTATATCACCATGTCGTGCTACGGCATGTAAAGTTAGCCTAGTTTATGTCTTAGACCTAATTTAATAAGGGTTTGGGGTTGCGTTGCGTTATGTTATTTAAAATTACATTAGGTCGCCCTACATCGTCCACAGTTATAACTGTGAGCAGGACAAC